AGTAATGTTTCGTAGCAGGAGGCTGCTCGCAAAACTGATTGGGGAGCTGCGTTCACAACTAGATTTGTGAGTGACGCCACGAAGCGGAAAGGTGGGGGCAAAGTGAAGAAAAGAAGGAGGAGGGGGGAGGAGAAGCAGGAGTAGGAGGAGGAAGAAGAGGAGGGTGAAGAGCATGACGAAGGTGAGGAGCAACACCTTACTCACAAAACTAGGTGTGGAGCGGCGTTCACAGGTAGTTTTGCGAGTAATGTTTCGTAGCAGGAGGCTGCTCGCAGAACTGATTGGGGAGCTGCGTTCACAACTAGATTTGCGAGTGACGCCGCGAAGCGGGGAGGTGGGGGTAAAGTGAAGAAAAGAAGGAGGAGGGGGGAGGAGCAGGAGGAGTAGGAGGAGGAAGAAGGGGAGGGTGAGGAGCATGACGAAGGTGAGGAACAACACCTTACTCACAAAACTAGGTGTGGAGCTGCGTTCACAGCTAGTTTTGCGAGTAATGTTTCGCAGCAGGAGGCTGCTCGCAAAACTGGTTGTGGAGCTGCGTTCATAACTAGATTTGCGAGTGACGCCACGAAGCGGAGGTGGGGGTAGAGTGAAGAAACGAAGGAGGAGGAAGGGGGGAGGAGCAGGAGGAGTAGGAGGAGGAAGAAGAGGAGGGTGAGGAGCATGACGAAGGTGAGGAGCAACACCTTACTCACAAAACTAGGTGTGGAGCGGCGTTCACATTTAGATTTGCGAGTAATGTCTCTTATCAGGAGGCTGCTCGCAAAACTGGTTGCGGAGCTGCGTTCGCAACTAGATTTGTGAGTGACGCCATGAAGCGGAGAGGTGGGGTTGAGTGAAGAAAAGAAGGAGGAGGAAGGATGGGGAGGAGCAGGAGGAGTAGGAGGAGGAAGAAGAGGAGGGTGAGGAGCATGACGAGGGTGAGGAGGAAGACATCACTCACAAAACTAAGTGTGGAGCGGCGTTCACAGCTAGTTTTGCGAGTAATGTTTCGTAGCAGGAGGCTGCTCGCAGAACTGATTGGGGAGCTGCGTTCACAACTGACGGGGGGCAGCCGACGGCCAACGCTGCCCTGTTGAAGCTACACGATTTGATTATCATCCTCCTGCTCTTGAAAAAATACCGTTTACCAGATTTTCCAGATTTCCAAGATCTTCCCAGAGATGGCCCTGGTGAAAAACGCTGTGTTTTCCTGATATTCCTGACCTTCCCAGGGATTACCCCTGAGAAAACGCTGCGTTTTCCTGATATTCCTGATATTCCTGACATTTCCAGAGACTACCCAGGCGCCGAGGCCTCCTGGGGCTGCCGAAACATTGCCCTGGTGGAAAACGCCGTGTTTTCCTGATATTCCTGACCTTCCCAGGGATTACCCCTGTGAGAACGCTGTGTTTTCCTGATATTCCTGCTATATATATATATATATATATATATATATATATATATCGGGTTTTACATGTACAATTAATAAATTATATTTGAATTATCTGTTTTGTATTGCAATTTTGTTCTTGGGAGCGTCTTGGCGGCGATCTTGGAAGCTCTTGGCGAGATCTTGGGTGTCTTGGGTCGATCATGGCGGGTCTTGGGTCGTCTTGGGACCGTCTTGGGAGCCTCTTGGGCTCGTCTTGGGGGCTGATTGCGTCCCCTGCAGGCCGTGCCCGGTCGCGCCGGGTCGTGCCCGGTCGTGCCGAATCGTGCCCGGTCGTGCCGGGTCGCGCCGGGTCGTACCCGGTCGCGCCGGGTCCTACCCGAGCGAATTTGGCAAATTCCCGCTTCCCGGGGAGGGGGCGGGGCTGGCACCAGGGCCCGGGAGGCTGGAATCAAGGCCTGGGAAGCTCGAATCAGGGCCCGGGAAACTGGAGTCAGGGCCCCGGGGTGGGGGTCGAATCAGGGGTCGGGAGGCTGGACTCAGGGCCTGGGAGGATGGAATCAGGGCCTGGGAGGTTCTGGAATCAGGGCCCGGGAGGCTGGAATCAGGGCCCGGGGGGCTGGAATCAGGGTCCGGGAGGCTGGAGTCGGGACCCGGGGGGGGCTGGAATCAGAGCCCGGGCGGCTGGAATCAGAGCCTGAGAGGCTGGAGTCAGGACAGGGAAGGGGGGGGGCTGGAATCAGGGCCCGGGAGGCTGGAGTCAGGGCCCGGGAGGCTGGATTCAGGGCCCGGGAGGGTATTGAATCAGGGCCCGGGAGGCCACAGCGCCACCACAGCGATGCCACGGCGACACCACAGCGACACCACAGCGATACCACAGCGATACCACAGCGATACCACAGCGATACCACAGCGATACCACAACGAGACCACAGCGATACCACAGCGACACCACAGCGATACCACATCGATACCACAACGATACCACAGGTGCTCGAATCAGGCTCCTCCGGGCGGCTGGAATCAGAGCCTGGGAGGCTGGAGTCAGGGCCCGGGGGGCTGGAATCAGGGCCCGGGAGGCTCTGGAATCAGGGCCCGGGGGGCTGGAATCAGGCTCGGGGGCTCTGGAATCAGCGCCCGGGAGGCTCTGGATTCAGTGCTGCGCGGCTGCGCGGCTGCGCGGGTTTCGCGGCTGCGCGGGTTGCCGGACATCAAGACGCCCGCACCTCACGCACCTCATTTTTTCAAGGTGCGAGATCTCGGAGACGCTTCAGGACCCACGCCCGCACCTCGAAAAACTTGATGTGCATGAGGTGCGGCTCGTCAGGGAGCGGTCCCGAGATCGCCCGCGGCCAAAATTCTCTCCGGATCAGCCGAAATCCCATCGGGAGGCCCCAAATCAACGAACATCCGGCCCGGGAGGCCTCAAATCAACCGGAATCCGACCTGCGAGGCCCCACGCCAGCCCAAATCCGCCCTGGGAGGCCCCAAATCAGCTGAAATCCGGCCCGGGAAGCGGGGAATCCCTTAATTTTGAATCCCGGGGCGGCCCGGGGAGCGCCCGGGGAACGCGCGACGGGGAGCGAGCGCTCGGGGAACGCACGGGGAGCGAGCGCCCGGGGAGCGCCCGGGGAGCGCCCGGGGAGCGCCCGGGGAGCGCCCGGGAACCGCCCGGGGAGCGTCCGGGGAGCGAGCGCCCGGGGAGCGCCCGGGGAGCGAGCGCTCGGGGGCGCCCGGGAACGCCAGGGAAGCGCTCGGGGAGCGTTCGGGAAGCGCCCGGGGAGTACCCGGGGAGTAACCGGGGAGCGAGCGCCCGGGAGCGCCCGGGGAGCGCCCGGGAACCGCCCGGGAATCGCCTGGGAGCGCCTTCGGAGCGCCTTCGGAGCGCCCGAGGAGCGCCCGGGGAGCGCCTGGGAACCGCCCGAGGAACAAGGAGCGAGCGCCTGGGAGCGCCCGGGAACCGTCCAGGGAGCGCCCGGAAGCGCCCGGGGAGCACCCGGGGAGCGCCCGGGGAGCGCCCGGGAGCGCCCGGGGAGCGCCCGAGGAGCGGGAGCGCCCGGGAGCGCCTGGGGAGCGTCCGGGGAGCGCCCGGGGGGCGCCCGGGAACCGCCCGGGGAACACCCGGGGAACGCCCGGGGAGCGAGCGCCCGGGAGCGCCCGGGGAGCGCCTGGGGAGCGAGCGCCGGGAGCGCCGGGAGAGGGCCGGGAGTGCAGCCCCTCCAGGGCAGCGCCGGGTTTGTCTGTTCGGGGCGGCGCGGGAGGCCCCCGGTTGCGCTAAAATGTCATTTTGGCGAGCTGAACTACGGCCGGGGCGCAATTTAGGAACGCGTCAGGATATGGCAGGCTGCCCTGCTGGACTCATGCGAGTACGCTCGCCGCCAGCTGATCTGGAGGGAACGCTCGAGGGCCCTTTTCTTCATGGCGATCAAGAAACCATGGCGCGAAGCGACGCAGCATCTCGAGGCAGACGCACCCCAGTGCCCACATGTCGCGCGCGGTGGTCTGGACAGGCTGGCGCGGTCCACTTAGCCGTGCCAGGAGTCAGCGCGCCCTGAAGCTTTCCGTCGGCGACCGTGCAAACGGACCCGAAATCGCAAAGCTTGGCGCGGCCCGGCCGAATTGGCCGCCAACGGCACTCGCGCTAAGTCAAGGGTGAAACCGCCGCGCGGCAGCTGAGCAACGGCGCCGCTCAGTCGCGCCCCCGCATTGGGGTGAGGCGCGCGCCGAGCAACGCGGACTTTCGGTCGAGCAGACGGCGCCGCGAGCCGCCGCGGACCGCAAACCGCCGCCGCAGACCGCCGCAGACCGCAAACCGCCGCCGCAGACCGCCGCCGCAGACCGCCGCGGACCGCAGACGGCCGCGGACCGCAGACCGCCGCCGCAGACCGCCGCCGTGAACCGCCGCAGACCGCAAACGGCCGCCGCACACCGCCGCTGTAGACCGCCGCCGCAAACCGCCGCGGACCGCAGACCGCCGCCGTAGACCGCCGCGGACCGCAGACCGCCCCCGTAGACCGCCGCGGACCGCAGACCGCCGCCGCAGACCGCTGCAGACCGCGGGCCGCGCACCGCCGCCTTGACCGCAGACCGGCGCTGCAAACCGCCGCGGACTGCAGACCGCCGCCGTAGACCGCCGCCGCAGACCGCCGCGGACTGCAAATGGCCGCCGCAGACGGCCGCGGACCGAAAACCGCCGCCGTAAACCGCCACCGCAAACCGCCGCGGACCGCAGACCGCCGCCGTAGACCGCCGCCGCAGACCGCCGCAAACCGCCGCAAACCCGCGGACCGCCGCGGGCCGCAGACCGCCGCGGCAGACGGTCGCGGTCTGCGGTGGCGGTTCTCGGTGACGGTTTGCGGTGGCAATCTGCGGTAGTTGTCTGCGGTGGGCGTTCTCGGTGACGGTCTGCGGTGGCAATCTGCGGTGGCAATCCGCGGCGGCGGTCTGCAGTGGCGGTTTGCGGTGACGGTCTGCGGTGGCAATTTGCGGTGACAATCTGCGGTGGCGGTTTGCAATGACGGTCTGCGGCGGCATTCTGCGGTGGCAGTCTGCGGTGGCGGTTTGCAGTGGCGGTCTGCGGCGGCGGTCTGCGGTAGCGGTCTGCGGTGGCGACCTGCGGCGGCGGTCTGCGATGGCGGTCTGCGGTGGCGGTTTGCGGTGGCGGTCTGCGGTGGCGGTTCTCGGTGGCGGTCTGCGGTGGCAGTCTGCGGTGGCAGTCCGCGGTGGCGGTCTGCAGTGGCGATTTGCGGTGACGGTCTGCGGTGGCAGTCTGCGGTGGCAGTTTGCAGTGACGGTCTGCGGCGGCAGTCTGCGGTAGCGGTTTGCGGTGGCGACCTGCGGTGGCGGTCTGCGGTGGCAGTCTGCGGTGGCGGTCTGCAGTGGCGGTCTGCGGTGGCGGTCTGCGGTGGCGGCCTACGGTGGCGGCCTACGGTGGCGGTGGTCTGCGCCTGGCGCCGCCTGCCGCCGCCGCCCCTTTCTACGCCTCGCTGGTGGCCGTTTTGGAGTGCGCTTTCGGTCCGCCACAACGCGCTCCCGACGCGCCGGATTTCGCGCCGCACTGCCCGACGGCCGGCTCGACGGCTTGCGTTGCGGCCTGCGGTGGCGGTCTGCGGTGTCGGTTTGCGGTCTGCGGTCTGCGGTGGCGGTCTGCAATGGCGGTCTGCGGTGGCAGTCTGCGGTAGCGGTCTGCGGGGGCGGTCTGCGGTGGCGGTCTGCAGTGGCGGTCTGCGGTGGCGGTCTGCGGTGGCTGTCTGCGGTGGCGGCCTACGGTGGCGGTCTGCGGTGGCGGTCTGCGGTGCAAATCTGCAGTAGCGGTCTGCGGTGGCGGTCTGCGGTGGCGGTCTGCGGGGGCGGTCTGCGGTGGCGGTCCGCGGTGGCGGTCTGCGGTGGCGGTTTGCGGCGAAGGTTCGCGGTGACGGTCTGCGGTGGCAGTCTGCGGTGGCGGTCTGCAGCGGCGCTCTGCGGTGGCGGTCTGCGGTGGCAGTCTGCGGTGGCGGTCTGCAGTGGCGGTCTGCGGCGGCGGTCTGCGGTGGCGGTCTGCGGTAGCAGTCTGCGGTGGCGGTTTGCGGTGGCGGTCTGCAGTGACGGTTTGCGGTGACAATCTGCGGTGGCGGGCTGCGGTGGTGCTCTGCAGTGGCGGTCTGCGGTGGCAGTCTGCGGTAGCGGTTTGCGCTGGCGGCCTACGGTGGCGGTCTGCAGTGGCGGTGGTTTACGGTGGCGGCCTACGGTGGCGGTTTGCGGTGGCGGTGGTCTGCGCCTGGCGCCGCTTGCCGCCGCCGCCCCTTTTCTACGTCCCGCTGGTGGCCGTTTTGGAATGCGCTTTCGGCCCGCCAGACCGCGCTCCCGGCGCGCCGGGTTGCGCGCCGGACTGCGCGACGGCTTGCGCTGCGGCCTGCGGTCTGCGGTGGCGGTCTGCGGTGACGGTCTGCGGTGGCGGGCGGTCTGCGGTGGCGGGCGGTCTGCAGTGGCGGTCTGCGGTGGCGGTCTGCGGTGGCGGTCTGCGGTGGCGATTTGCGGTGGCGGTTTGCGGTGGCGGCCTACGGTGGCGGTTTGCGGTGGCGGTGGTCTGCGCCTGGCGCCGCTTGCCGCCGCCCCATTCTATGCGCCGCTGGTGGCCGTTTTGGATTGCGCTTTCGGTCCGCCAGAATCGCTCTGGTTCGCCCTGGCTCCCCCTGGTTCGCCTTGGTTCGCCCTGTTTTGTTTTGGCTCGCCTTGTTTTTTTCGCTCTGGTTCGCTCTGGGTCGCTCTGGTTCGTTGTGGTTCGCGCTGGTACTCTCTGGCTCTTGGTTTGCCTTGGTTCGCTTTGGCTCGCCCTGGCTCGCGCTCCCGGCGCGGTTCAAGGCGCCGTGCGTTACTCGCGCTCTTTAGCCGAGCCTTTTTGTTCGGTTGGTTCGCTCCGGCGTTCTTCGCTCGGTGCTCGGCTTCGGCTGGTTCCCTCGGCGCTTCAGCGTCGCGCGCGCCGCTGGGGATTGGTCGGAAGCGTCGCGCGCGCTCCCAGAGATAGGTCGGAAGCGCCGCGCGCGCCCCCGGGGATTGGTCGGACGCGTCGCGCGTGCCAGCATGGATTGGTCGGAAGCGTCGCGCGCGCTCCCGGAGATAATCCATCCGCCTGAACAGCAGAACCATTGATGCATCGGCCCCCCCTCTGTGAGAGAAGGGTTCCCCGCCCCGAGCCCATCTGTGAGAGAAGGGGTCGCTGTGTGGGTTGCGTGAGTGGAAGCGATGGGCAAGAAGAAGAAATGATGGCGGGCGGGGGATTGGGAGGAGGGAATGCAAAGGGAAGCAAAGCAAAGGAGGGGGGAGGACGAAGACGACAGCACAGATGGCAGCGTTTTTTTATACCGCATGCGGCGCCGCACACTACGCGTCAACGCGCAAAACCGTGCGCGCCCGAGTTCACCCCTCCGCCGCTCACGCGGAATTCGCGAGGCATCCCTCCGCTGCTGCGGAAGGTCGCTCCCCTGTGCGCTCTTTAGTAATTATGCTATTTCCCGCCACGGGTTGTCGTCGTCATCCTTAGGAGCGTGCGTCCAACCAGCGTTATCGTCATCGTCTGGTTGTCGCGGGCACACAAGCGCAGCAAGATGTTGAAAACTGTCTCTGGCTGCGCTGGAAGCGGCGCCGCCTTGCCACGCTGCTGCGGGGCCTCTGGGTGTCGCCGCATCCCAGCCGTCGCGCCATCCCCACCAGCCGCCCTCGTTGCCCCAGCGGTTCTCCTCCCAGCCGTCGCGCCATCCCCACCAGCCGTCGCGTTTCTCTTGCGCCCACCAGTCCCGCTCCTGCGGGAATCCTTGGCGCGGCTGGTGTTCCTCGGCCCGCGGCGGCTCCCGCTGCTGCGGGGGCCCTGACGGCTGGCGCTGCGGAGGCGTTGTGCGCGGAGGCGCTGCTGGCGGACATGGCCACTGCTGCGCCCAGGCGGTGTGCTCGTCAGCGAGGTCAGACCACCTGGCCCCAGGTGCCGCGCGATTTGCGCAGTCTTCTCGCTGTCCCTGGCGCCCCTGCTGCACGGGCGACGCTGCTGCGGCGTCCTCGGCCGCTGCTGCGTCCTCGAGCGCCTTCCTCTCGCGGCGCCTCTCTCTCTTTCCTTCTGCGCGAGCGGCTTTGCCATCGATGGAACGGTTGGGCGCCATCTTCACGTTGAACATCAGGGGGTAGTGGGCGCCGCCGTGCCAGCGCCCATCCACTTCCACGATGTGCACGCGAAGGTCCTTTTGCTGCGCGCGGAAGGAGGACGTCGCGAGAGTTGGCGTACCTGTGGTCACCTCTGGCTTCGGCCTCGGCGCGTTGTCGTTTTTCCTGCTCCTTCACTTCGATCTGATGTAAGGATTGAACTGATGGTGACAAAAGGTCGACCAAGTGTTCGCGGGCAGGCTTCTTCGGGTAAAAGCAATTGTAAGGCGCTCCTGGACCACCGTTCTGCCTGTGGCGCCACAGCGTCGGAACCTCCTTCTGGCAAGGGTCGGCCCCCGCTGCTGCGGGGGCATCTGCCCTGGGCATGTTCTTGTACCCGTGGACTCCGATCACCGATTCGCCCTTCGACAGCAATCCCGTGTCGTCGTTGTCGTGGACAAACTTGAGAGGGTATAACAGGCGGTACTCACCCGGACGGTTCAGCACGAAAATGCCGCAACTGTCCAGGCAGGGCGTGCCGTCCACCCCCCGCCACAGGTACACCGCGGCCGTCTGAGCGTGCACGCCCAAATCTTTCAAGCGGGGCACCGTTTGCGTGAGCGCCATGTTAAAATCCCCGCAAAGGATATCAACCTGGTGCTCACGTAATACTCGGCCGAGTTTGGGCCACCACTCCTTCCCGGCTGTCTTGAAATCCTTCTGACATTTCGCCGTGTCGCGGTAGAGGTGCACCGCGCGCACGCGCGCGCGGCTGCCGAAACCGGCGTACGTGTTATCCATCCTCAGCTCTGCCACCATGACACGCGTATATCCCTGCGCTCTTTCGTGCTTCTTCGTCTTGTACACCCCGTCGGCAGACCTTTCCCGATGCGGCAACTGCACCTCGCTGCACTCTTTGGCGCGCGCAGCGATGCGCGCGCTCTTCTGCTCGCGGCCGCGCAGGGTGAGGAATTCGTACTCTGGGCGGCACTGCAGCTGCGCGCAGTCGCCATCGGCCGCAGTGACCCGCCGCTGCTGCGGCGGGGCTGCTGCTGCCGCGGCGGCGGCCGCCTCCGACGGAGGCCCCCCTGGCTTCCGCAGCATTTCCTCCATTTCGAGCTCGCACTCGGCCAGGCATACTACCAGGGCAGGGCAGTGTCGCAGCTGCAGTTCTATTCTCCGCCGTTGGTCCGGGTTTTCCTTCTTGCTCGGCAGCGCCCCCCAGTTTCCGAACATCGCGCCGAGGTTGCCAACGTTGTCCTTTCGCGGAGCGCCTTCGGTGGCAGCTCGCCGATAACTGAACTGACCCTCGGGGACGGTGTCTCGCCGGACCTCTCGCTCCCGCCGACTCCAATCGGGCGGGTCAGCTCCCGCGGGTTGCTTCTCGAGCGTGTTTCTCTCGGGTCCTTCGTCCTCACTTGAATCAAGAACCGAGTCGTCTGGCCCAGTGTGCCTCGAAGAGGCGTCGGATCGCGCGTCAGATCCACCCTCATCGCCCGCGTCGCGCCCCGCTGCTGCGGAGGACTTTGCCGTTGCCATCCAGTCACCCTGCCAGGGTTCTCTGGAGCCGCGTTCAGCTACAGGTACCCACACCTTTCCACATCGTGCGTCGTAAGACGCCGACAGTCGGACCTTGCGGCGCCCCGCTGCTGCGGGGGCCGCAGCGGGCCCTGTCTGCAAGCTGGGGGCCATCGCGCACTGACCCCCCCAACGGAGGGGCGCCCGCGCGACTCAGACACCTGGGGCCCAAATGGCCATGGAAACGGCAGAGGCACGAAACAACAAGGAGGAGTGGAAAGACGACGAGGTATGAAACAACAAGGAGGAAGGAAAACAGGGACTGAGCTTCCCGATCGTAACTCCTCCTCCGCCTCCGCGCGAGGGGGGGGGGGGGGGGGCAGGTGGAGGAGGGGGAGGAGGCAGGAGGAGGAGGAGAAGGAGGAGCAGGAGAGGAGGAGGGAGGAACAGGAGGAGGAGGAGGAGGAGGGAGGAAGGGATGAGGAGGAGGAGGAGGACAAGGAGGAGGAGGAGGAGGAGGACAAGGAGGAGGAGGAGGAGTCTATGGGGTCGTCCCCCTTCTCTCTCTCTCTCTATGCGGTTCATTTTCACCCCTCAGAACCACTCGCGCCCCCCCCTAGAGCACTCGGTGCGCAGCAACTACAGCCCAGCTCAGATGCGGCGGGGTGCCCGCCGCTGCTGCGGTGGGCACCGCGCACGCTCAGACGCTCCCAGCTACAGGGATCGCAAGCGCCAAACTGCCTGAGAGGCGTCGGCGTGTCTCACTGTTCATAAAAATGCTGAAAGCCCT